ACAATTTGTACAGTGTTCTCTTAAACGACCATTACTAATATCTATATATTTTATACACTTCTCAACCCTTAACTCTGAGAAAGTCTACGTACAGGTGCGCGATAAACTGGCTTGATTTTGAATTGGCTGAGGGATTGAAGAAATTCTTACACAAAGGAGTTTTTTGCTTGTAGAAACGGTTATAAAGGGTTTGGATGCGTATGAAATATACAGATTTATTAAACACGTGTCTAGAATCATTATGCATGGACAGGTTGGTGATTTACAAATTTTGAAAAGTAGAGAAATTCTCCCCAACAGTGCGAAAAATACTTTTATTACAGGGTTTTTTTTTTTTGCATTACTGGATCTAGCGTTATGTCAAATCTTAAGATATTAATCCATAAGGCTACAGTTCTGCGGCTAAATACATGTTTTCAATCTTCATAGCTGAATAGTTCTTGTATGAGATATGTCGTCCAAGATATCTGTTGAATTTTGGGGAGTTATTTGCCGTAATTGAAAGTTCAATGATAAAATGGAATACATGTACACTGTATAAGAAATTAGCACTAACGGCTTGGATTACAAAAGATTCCCTTTTCACATGTGTTATTTTTGTAAATACCGGTATATATATGGAAACAATCTACACTATATTATAATTAGTACTTGAATTAAATCGAATTTCCTCTTACGTCTGTCTTTATTGCTAATGGAAAGGTGAAAAATAACGAAAATATGAATATATTATCATCACTCTTACTTTTTCATCGACGTAAAAAAATTAATTAAAGGACAAATACATGATTACAAAATTAACACATATAGTCATTATTAAGGATCATTGTGACACTGAGGAACTTTTATATTGAAAATACATGACTTAGTCTATCTTCCATGATTTTGCCCCTCGCTTACTTCATAATTACATGTTTCATATGTTTTTCTTTCTTTTTTCTTTCTCTCCCTTTTCATATTCTGATTATGTACTTCATATATTCTTGTACCTCTGACCTGAATTGATGTAAATATATAGTTTTTCATTATCCTCATCATGTACCATGTATTTGAAATGGTTTTGAGTTAATATAAATGATTTTGAGCTTGGGACAAAACGGGAATTCAATTTGACCGAGTAAGATGATTAATTTATTAGTACATAGTCTATACCAAAGTCAGTAGATAGGGGAAATATGAGCCTATATAGGAAAGAATTTGAAATTTAATGAGAAATTAACCAACAAAAATTATCATGTGCATTTACAAGTTTTTATTTATTACTTTAATGACAAAATAAAAAGTTATGCTAAATAATTTATCATGAGTAGTAATCGGTTTCAATTTCTGATTTACCAGCTTTAAACAGAATTATTTGTTTTTCTAGAAATGGCAGTCTCTTTAAATTATAATGTTAGATTAAATGTTCAATAAACTCATTTTTTATAATATATTATTTTCATCCTTTCATAATTATACCATGTTTCTTCAACATTTAAGAATTAGTTATAGACTTAACATATTTCCATTACGGCGCTCTTCAGTTTATGCTACGTTTACACTATGTTCCCGGCAGCCACGGCAGCCCCGTTTGCCCGAAACGTAGTGCGCCGTGAGATTTTGGTTATTTTCCCCTCTATATCCAAGTCTTGACAAGTTCTTTTGCGGTCTTATACGGTCTTCTACGGAATCCGTGATGGGCCGTAGGAAGAAGTTGCCGTGGAGTGCCGGAGGCTCCACGGCGCACTACGGTTCTGCCACGTATGCCAGCACGTTCCACCTAGGCCTCTTACGTTCTGATAGGTCCCCTCTCGTTTCTTGCGTTCTTATGAAGTTCTTATACGTTTCTCACGTTCTGTCAAGTCTTTCTACGTATGAAACATGGACGCCGGGAAACTATGGATCACGTTTGTACCAGAGAAGGTCTCCTAACCAGAAACAATCATTGTATCATGACCCTTCGAAGATAAAACATCATGAATTCTCAAGACGAAGATTTTATTTTCGCGTGTTGCTGGGTGCATACCTAAAATCACTTCGTCAAAATGAAGAGAACCAGCCGCAGTTACAGAGAGGGAAGGCAGGAGTGCAGCAACTAGGAATGAGACGAATAAGACGGATGAGAAGGCGGAGATCCATATGGATCCATAATGAAACTTCTCTGCAGTGCCCGGCTTTAAAATGCTTCCTCTCAGACCGCGTGCGCCGTGTCAGACCGTAGTAGAACGCAACGCACCGGGACCATAAACCGTAACATGCCGGGACGAACCGCGATTGAACGCGAGGAAACGGCTACCATACACCCTAGTTTGCCGTGAGGACCGTGATGAAACGTGGCAGAACGTGATAAAACGGACAACAACCGTGAACTAGAGAACACCAAACACGCAACGAACGAACGTATCTCGACGATATTATCCGTATTACTAGTGTATGAATATCATCACTCGCTTTATATTTTTTTTGTGATTATTTCAAAGGCGGATCCAGCACAAGTGCGCCGGGCGTGCGTCCCCTCCCCATTTGATTTTTTAATTTTGTTTGTATTATCTTCAAATCAACAGGAAAACACCTCTAATTTGTTATAGAGTTCCTCAGTTTCCGGGGTCTTCGCCCTTGGATCCCCAGCAAGGCTTTGTCTCGGACCCACTGGGAGCTTTAATGCAGCCCCCAGACTTCCAAGTCTTCTACTGCATCCCCCCAACGTTGTGAAATTCCTGGGTCCGCCGCTGAATAAATTTTTAGACAGTTTAACTGCTAGTACATATTTCTTCACTTCATATTTAGATATGAACGACCAATATCGGGTTATATGGTGGCATAAATATGCCACGATAGGGTTATTATATTTAATTCGGGTTCCTTATATCGACACCCTAGATTGGAAGTTGCGTCTATTGATAAATTGTTCTCAGCATTTGCATAGCGTCGCATTGATAATTGTTACAAACTATAAATATTGCAAGCCAAATTCACAAAAATGAGCTAAACATAGTTTCACACTTGATAAACTAGATTTATCAACTGTAAACTATAGTTTAAAAACCGTAAACTATAGTTAACAATTGGTTAACTATAGTTTTCATCTGTAAAACTTTATTTAACTGTAATTTATAGTTTACGAGTGCTAATCTAAGTTTATCTGTCTGTAATAAAACGTTAACAATAGATTTTGTAAATAAAGATAGATTCACTTCTGTAAACTATAATTCACAATCGTATAGTTAAGAGTTGTTAATCATAGTTTCACAAATCGTGAAACTATATTTATCAGATCATGAACTAAAGTTAAAAGCTGTATACCATATTTTACAAATCGTGAAATTGTTTTTATCAGATAATCTTTTCAACAGCAAATGATTGTTTTCATTGTTAAGTTTAGTTTACGGTTCTGAAACAGATATTCGCGTTAACTATGGTTAACAGATGTAAAATATAGATTAACGTTCAACTTGCTAACTATAGTTTACAGTCTGTAAACTATTGTTTACAACCGATAAACCTAGTTTATCGACTGTGAAACTATGTTTAGCTCATTTTTGTTGATTTGGCGTGCCATATATAAGACATTATCGCAATAAACAAAGGGCATCCTTTATTATAGGCGGATCCAGCAGTTTTTGAAAAAAAGGGGGTGCCCAGGTCGGTGAACCCAACACTAACTTGACTAAGGCATAGAATCACACCATGGCCACTTCAAGTCCGTAGCTTCATTTTTTAAGGGGGGGGGGGCTACAAAACATTTGACAAGCAAAAAAAAAAAAAAAAAAACAGACGAACATAAACAAAACAAAAAAACCTATACACCACTTTTTAAATTGGGAAGGGGTGGGGGTGGGGGGGGGGGGGGCTTGGTGTCATTTTTCTGTTCGGTACATTACTTTCAATCTCGAATCTGCGTTTTTTCCAGAAACAAAAGATGTGGAGGGAGCTTCCAAAACAAAATATTTTTTTAAAACAGCAAAAGATTATTCTCAGAAAAAGTAAGTCCCCTCCTTCTGCATACTACAGGAATATTTTAACATTTTTCTACATTGATTAAAAATATTTATGCATACTTCTTAAAGTTAGTTTCTTCTGAAGATGGTCCAAAAATGGTATAGCTAGAGTTCAATGGAATCTTCCTTGTATGTTACTTGTGGATGTTCAGAGCCCTTAGACGGGGTTGTGAAAGCAAATACGCAGATCTAGCGAGCAGAAAGGAAAGCCTTTTTTTTTCAAATGATTAGACATATAAATATCTATTAAAGAAAATATATTCTCTCTCTCTCTCTCTTTTTCTCTGTACAAAAAAAGTGGGGGTTCAAACCCTCGGAAACCCCCTCTGGTCTGCCAATGCTTTTATATAATATGGATTAATTTTCATTTATTATAAGTTAAAGGAATCAATAAAAACACACCTGAACATATGCATACATTTATATCATACTGGTACATGGAACACCAAACCGATTATACTTATCAAATTGACAAATCATTTTAATTTTTCTACACGTGTGATTCGTCCGTACGTTTCGTCAGTTACACAGGTAATCACAATGTAAACAACTTTACCGTTCGTTAAACCGATATCCGTTCGTTACGTGTTTGGTGTTCTCTACTAGCCGTGACAGAACGCGGACTAAACTCAGCAAAACGTCTCAAAACGTGAATGGACCGTGAGATGAATGGAAGTATACATTCTCCCGTCCCACTGCGGACTGCCTCCAAGTTCTGTTACGGTCTATTACGTGCTGTCGCGTTTTGTTGCGTTTATTCCGTTTTACTACGACCTACCAAGTTTCACATCTGCAACGTGGCCGCCGTGGCAAATTTTTTGACAGTTTAAAAATTTGGCACGGAATCCACGGCAATCGCGATGAGTTACGTTTGCCCATCCCGTTGCCCCAAGTTTTCTCACGCCCGTCCCGTTTTTTCCACGGTGGCCTGAAACGTGATTGCCGTGGCTGCCGGGAACATAGTGTAAACGTAGCATTAGAGGCGCGTTTAGTCGTGTCCCCTGGGACAAAATTTTAGCTGTGATGGCGACGAACTATCAGCATTTACAGTGCGCCGATCTAAAGACTATATTGAAATCAAAAGGTATTCCGTTTTCTAATATAAATAAGAAAGACTTGATTGATTTATGCGAGGGAGCAGAGGCGTTAAATTTGCCAGATATCGGTCACAATGATGGTGATATTCAGGCCTCCATTAGAAGAAGAACGGTCCGTGGAAAAACATATCCACACCCATATCATGATGATAGCATCGCTTGGACTCCGAATCTTGCCATTATTCCCTCTATAGATGCTTTTGACGTGTCGTCTTTTCTACAAAACTACTGTGGTTGGTCTGTAGAACGATTACGGAATAGGAAATCCGACAGTGGATACAAGCTTCATTGCTCTGGTCACATCTATGATATCGTAATGGCAATGTTAGGTAGGTTGCGCTATGTAGAGATCTGTATTTTAATCAGATCGTTTCAAAGTCTGACTTTTTTTAGAATTTGACATTAGGACTTGCATTATTGACTTGATCAGCTGTTGGTTATAAAAATCAAGCATTTTTGTACTGAAATCTTTTGCTACATGTTTCAACATCATCATGCTCATAGTCATCATCATCATCATCACCATCATTCCATCCATGTCCACGTACTTTCACATGCCATGCATATCACATCGCCATTTAACCATCTGCTGTCACCAGGTTGCAGTGGCGGATTTAAGGGGGGGGGGCGCACCCGCGCCCGGCGTGCGCCCCCCCCCTAAAATTGTCAAAATTAATTTAAATTACAGTTTCGTCTAGAAAATGTAAATATGTATACTTGGTAGATCTCATTTTTACCCTACAAAATCTCTAGAATCCAGGAGCTTCCGGGGGCTTCGCCTCCTGAGCCCCCACTAGGGCTTTGCCCTGGACCCACTGGGGGCCTAAAGGTGGCCCCCAGACCTCTTGCCTACTTTGGCGCCCCCCTCCTAACTTCAATTCCTGGATCCGTGCCTGGGTTGCATGTATATAAAATAGCTTTCTTTAAAAAAAAATTCTGTGCATGTAAGTAACAAACCAGTATGTATCACAGGCACTTCAAGTTACACTATAACTCAATTCCTAAGTTTTATTTATTTAGAATAATAGCAAATAAGAACGTTTTTTAAAACTTTGTTTACAATTAAATTTAGGTGAAGACCTGTTTCATTAAGGGAAAGTGTGTTCCTGAAACAAGGCAGTCGAATGATCCCTATATTCCATGGATTCTGGTTGAAAAGTCAGGACATATATTTTCAGCAGAATGCACGTGTGTTGCGTAAGTTTCAATTTCTTCTCATTTTTGAAATACATCTTCTTGATTGTGCTTAAAGTTTGATTAAATTTTAAGAGACTCCTGCTGAAGTTTTTTGTGAATATTAAAAATGTGTATATAAGCAAATTTGAAGTTAACTTAATAATTTTTATTCTATACAAAAATATAATTATAAAAAAAAATAATTTTAAACAGAGGGGATGGGTCCTGCAAACATGTTGCCGCCCTCCTATTTGGCATTATTGATCACGTCACATCCATGGAAGACCGAGGTACCATCGGTGTCACAGATACCGCAGCATATTGGAATAAACCAAGAAAAGTATGCAGGCCAGTAGCTGTTCATGACTTGGATATCAGGTATTGACCATACTGTACTGGGTTCTCATCAAAGAATGCTGTTTTGTGGATGTATGATATACAATAGAACATTGAGTTAATATTTTTGGTTTTTGTACTGGTATATTTTAAAATAAGTCAAAATCTCTCCCTCACAATCTTATAACCATTTTGGAATATATGTAGATACAATGTGCATTATCTGAGCATTTTAAACATTACTTAAATTTGATATTTCTAATATTATAGGATTGACACGAATGTACCAGATAGACCACGACCGTCGGAAGATTCTGGATATTTGCCACTTCAGCCATCAGTTTTGGATTTAAAGTCTTTAGAGAAGAATATTATTCAAGTACTTAAAAAAAGCAATACACCAGCAGTGGCCTTGTATACACTTTCGGATTCTGATGATGAAAATGATGTATCTATGGGTATTGAGGACACACCTAAAAATATTATTGATCTAATTTCTATACATGGTCAAGAAAATTTAAAAGTAGACGATTCTTATGTTAAAAAAGTAAATGAATTCACAAAAGGGCAATCGATTAACCTTATGTGGCAGTACCAGAGAAAAGGTAGACTGACTGCTTCAAACTTCTTCAATGCCTATCACTACAGAGGTAACAAAGCAGACAACTACATTGTAAGAAGTATTATGGGTCAGTATCATTTCACCTCAAAATCAGTCGAATATGGAAAACGAAATGAATCTGTTGCTCGAGAGAAATATGCTGATCACATGACAAGTTGTCATCCTTCATTTAAGTGTTCAGAGACAGGAATCTATGTTTACAAAGATTTCCCTTTCTTCGCTGCATCCCCTGATGGCATTTCTGAATGCAAGTGTTGTAGAAAAGGACTTGTTGAAATTAAATGCCCTTACAGTTCTAGAAATGAAACATCTCAGGTTGCTATGTCAAAAAATTCATCATGTGCAATTGTCAATGGAAATTATGAATTGAAAAAGAATCTGTCTTCCCCATTTTATGTCCAAATGCTTGGTCAAATGGCAGTATGCAGGTTTTCGCATTGTGATTTTGTTTTGTATACTCAAAAAGATATCTATGTAGAGAGAATTCATTTCTCAAAAGCAAATTGGAAATTGTTATTTGCTAAGCTTAAAAGATTTTATGTGCAGTACGTTTTGCCAAACTTAGTTTGAGTATATCATGTACATGAATGTATCTACATCACATGAATATACCATGAATTAGGCTAAAATTAAAAATATGTTTGTTTGCCATTTACCGACCAAGATTTTAAGGAATGGGTAGGTAGGTAGGAAAAATATATATTTTTTTTTCTTCTTGACTTCAAATTAAATTACATGTACTATTAAAAAAAATCAATATATTTATGTACATATTCTTTGTTATTGGAACTCATGCTTCATGAAACAAAATGAACTAATACATTTGGAAATTTTTATTGACAATAAAAAAATTTGTAATTGAAAAGTGAAGTAAAATATTTTGTGTCGGGCTACTTTTCATAAGTCGATAGGTTAAGGACAAACAAACACAATTTTAATATTTGGCCTTAGTCAGGTACCTTGACTATTGTAGTTGTAATACTTTTCAGAATTGAAGGTGATGTATGTCAGATCAACTCATTTTGAATATTTTTTGTTCTGTCATAAGAAATTTTTAAAGTTGAATTTTTAAAGTTGTTAGAATTTATTTATTCACTCCATTTTACTTCATTATTAAAGTTGTTAGAATTTATTTATTCACTCCATTTTACTTCATTGTTAAAGTTGTTAGAATTTATTTATTCACTCCAATTTACTTCATTATTTATATATTAACATGTTCCAAACAATATTTTAATTATATTAAAACAACTCTAGATACTTTGACTGACTTCATTTTTGTATTCAATGACAATATAAGTACAAAATTGGCGTGATTCAGATTCATTGAAGTTGATAAAATATATTGTTTTCACAAAGCTTAATGAGACAACAGATGTGATAAAATATTCATTAGTTATAATTTATGACTAGAATTCAAAGTCAATCTGAGCCTTTCCAGATTTTGTAAAAATTACTTAAATTTTTGTACAAGTGGCGGCATGAAATTACAGAAGGCGGCAGCAACACGCCACATGGCAGAAGAAAGATTCTTCATTTTCAAAGGGAGAATTCCTCCTAGCAATCGAAAAGATTTTAGCCTTCGAATTGCTCTTTCCACATGAATTCGGAGGGAAGCAATCTTTCGGGTCTCTATTATTTGTTTGGAAGTAAGCACCCTTCCTACTCCATTTCTCCTCTCCCGTGTAAAAGGAGGCATGTTTAAGTATGCTCCTTTCAAAGTTAAAAGGTCTCGTATTTGAAATCCTCTGTCAGCCATTACTTCGTCACCGGGGCATACTCCACAGCTTTGAAACAAATGTAAAGGCACCATTTGGCTGGATAGCAACTAGAGCTTTAAGAGTATTGTGTGATATATAGTTGCTCCATGTACTTGCCTGAGCTGAACAGTTCTTTGGCTTCTGAATAAATATCTCCGTACAATCAATAATTGAGGTAGTGTTGGGATATTTGAGTTTAAATGACAAGGGCATATGCTTCTTGACTGTAGCACTAGATGGCCATTTGATCACCGACTGAAGAATTTGTGCAAGGAAATTAATCCACGTATTAAATAAGCCTGAAATATGTCCAGTAGATGTACCAAATAGCACAGACAGAGTGAAATTGTCTAAACCAAGTCTTAATTTCATCATAACTAGAACAAACTCTTCCAATATTGTAAATTTTATTTTTTTACCAGGTTTTACTTGTTTTTTTTCCTGCCAGTTCTTTGATCCGGACCGTCCTGCCCCCTTCCAGAACGAGATTTTCCCATAGAATGGTGTAAGAAATTGTAAAAATGTTGCAAAAAAGCAAAGGGATGGTAATCCCAGGAAATGTTTAATGCTTTCATCTCCTTGCAATACTTTTTTCAGCAATTCTTCTCTGAGGATAACTTTCCTTGCCTTTAGTCTTTCATTTTCTTCCCATAGCCTTTTATTTTCCTTTTGGAGTTCTTCACATTCAGTCTGAAAATTTATTGCAATTATGATTTATCAGTTATTACCTACAAACCACCAAATCATCAGCAGTACATGCATTTATATTTTAGTGCATATTCAGTACTTTACTTACTTATGAATACATGTTCATATTTAAAAAAATGAATTCAGAAATGAGACATCAAGGTATATTAAATAGCATGGCCATTAAATCATTAGCTGTTCAATCTGATATCTCTTTTATCAATATTTACATCTTTGCAGCACTTACATGTGCAGTATTAAGGTGTTCTAATGTTCAATATTGAATAAGATGATAACAAAAAAGTGCCATCAATAGTAATATTATGTCATGTGTTGAATTTGAAATTTTCTTGTACATATGCATAATTAACTCACTTCTAAAACACTAACTCTCTGTATCAGTTCTTCTTCTCTACAATACTTCAGATCTGGATTGTGACAAGTGTAGTTATGATCTTGTACCATTTCAAACACTGAACAAACTTCACCAGTTTCTGAAATATTTACATGTGCATGTAATTGTCACACATTCATATCTAACAAGCAATATACTAGTATATATTTCCAGATGAGACTGTTCAAAATTACAATATTATGTATATTACAGTTTATATAAATATGTAAATGTTTTAATAAGTATTTTTTAAATATCATAATTTAATCATACCTTTTTCATTATTATTCTCATCTGTTACGTTGTCTGAAACGTCAATCTCGCCAGCAACATAGGGATAACATTTTTCAGAGAAACATTTAACAAGTTTCACTTTTTTACGAATTGGTTGATCGTTTGCAGTGCATTTTTCTTCAGTTGTTCTGCCCTGATGAGAGTTCTTGGTTTTTCTAGGTGTCTTTTGTTTATAATTATTGTAGGCAAAGAGAGTTGGCAGGGGGTTCTCAAATGTGGGGCGGCCATCCACAAAATGTTTCGAACAAACGACGTTGTGTCGATTGTCAAGCGTGGGATCAACACTCAGCCCCTCTCGTCTGACTAACTTTAACCAGTTTTTTAGAGAAGATTCTACTTTTGGTAGATTGTAAAAAATAACATCTTTATCTTTTCTACTGTCTGATGTACACTCTACTGCAATGCAGTGCCTCACTGGCATCCTTTTTTGAGTTTTAATAAGACTTCACATCGTAAACATTTCTTAGTTTACCGTTGTTATGTTTGTCCCGGTAATCTCGCGAGATTTGTAACTTTTCCTACTCTTTTACGAAAGAGCGTACTAAGAACCATAACTCTTCCGTAGTGGAAATAGAAAGTTACGCTAGGATTGCGGAATGGTTTCTTGTCTAACCAATTATGAAATAATTAATTTACTCCTAACAGAGACATATAAGAAATATTTTATGAAATTTAAAACTGATACAATTATTCCAAAGGTGTAATGTCAAAAGAAATCATATCCAAGATAATTTTTTTCATTCAAAATTGATAATCGAGTGAACGCGTTATAATATTCAGTTACCTGTGCAATTATAATCGGCGATAAATTTCAGTAATTTGGACTATCTCCGTATAATGTGAATATAGTTGACAGAACAAGATGATAAGCAAAGAAAAGACAGGTTTTACATTGCTAACGGATCGAAAGAGGTAAAGGCTAAAATATGTCACGAGAAAGCAAAGAGTACAATAGCGGAAAGAAGCTGTATAATTCATGTAATTTGTCATCGGAAAGCACGATTTTCTCGCGGTAACTGTTTTGAATCGCGGAAAAGAGATACTGCGAGTCTCAGTCCTGTAGCTTTCCCTGAATATTTAGCAATAGCCACATGACTGGATGAGGGATGAGAATGAAGTGAATAGATCCCCTACCCTGACAACTATATGCATGTGAACAATGAATGATAGACATCGATGTTCTTAAACGCGCATACTAGTATACATATTTTCTCAAAACATATTAAAGATCTTATTTTATCTAAAAAGTTATTGAAACTTCAAATTTCTGGACGGGTTTGAAAACCTTTTTTTAAGGAGAGTTATCAAAAGGTGGAACAAAATTAATATCTAATCAAAGGCAGGAAAAATTAACAGTCTGTTGTGTAATTCAGTATTTTAGTCACGACGGGTATAAGTGAGGCCATTGGAAAGAGTGTGTCAAAAGTCATCTTGATTATTGTACAAGTTCAATTTGTGAAAATGCATATGCAAGGTCGTATCAATCAAATCCGACCAGAAATACATAGTTCCAATCACTTCAAAATTAAATAATGTTTTTATTATATTTTCGTGTGAAATTCTATTGGAATATATACACTTGAAGTCGTAATATTATACAGAAAAGTTGAGAAAATGTAGACTTCTAATCTGTTCTAATCTATATGCACCATTAAGAAAACTTTAAAAAATTCTTTATCTTCAAACGCTAGTAATTATACAATTTGAAGGCTTGTCTAATTTTAATGTCTATTCAATGTCTATTCATTAAGAAAACTTAAAAAAATTCTTTATCTTCAAACGCTAGTAATTATACAATTTGAAGGCTTGTCTAATTTTAATGTCTATTAGTTTTATAAGCATTAATGTTATAATTTAAAGGTAAAATGGGAAATGCATGGGAAACATTCAATTTTCAAAGCAGTATGCAATATTCATTAACGTACGCTGCGCAAATTCATTAATGTAATTTTTTGGTACAAACATATTTGCTATTTGAAGACCCGGAAATTCCGGGGTACTTTTTTAAAGCTGTAATGGGTTATCCTTAAGTAATACCTATCATCTATGTGTCATGTAACTTATAGAATAATTTCAAGTATATGCTCAACTAGACAAATAGATCTTCATCTTTAGTAACATAGTGCTAAGATAATTTATGTTTATTTTATAGGTGTTATAGACTAATCCGTAATGTTTTAAAAGTGACTCATGACATATTTTATGGTTAACCATATATTACATTAAACTAGTCAGTAATTTTAATTTTTTCATACTATAATTAGAACTTCATAGACGAAGATAGATATCTCAGGTATTTAAATCACGTGACTTGGTAACAGATAAACATTTAGAATGAAGACAAGGAAGTAAATTGTGATGTACAGGATTATGAGGAAGGCAATGTTGGGTCGGTAGGTAAAACGATCACATTTAAGAACATGTTACCGAAACGTTACCAAGATGTAGTTGATTTAAATGTAGAAGAATACATTTATTGATGCATCAAAGAGTCGCTCTAGACCATAATGATTATATAATAGTAATAGCAAGGAGGTGCAAAGTCATTTTTTTCTGTGATGAAAAATTTAAAACGAAGAAAACGACAGTTCACCAAGGATTTTCTTGTAATTTCACAAGAAGGATATGGAGATAACGAACGGTATCCAAACGCAACGCAAGCAAAACTATTGACTTTCATATTGTTTTGTATTTAAAATTTGATTATATATTTTTTTTAAAGATAGGAACAGTTACTTTTTGTAAACGACATTGTACAAAAACATTCTTCTGTCATATCTTTATTGATTTTGTCTTTTGATTTCACAAAGAAATCAAAGCCATTACATTGTATTTGTTTAGAATTGCGTAATATTTCATGTCAGTGAACCATGCCTCTATTTACTTTATACAGGCTCCTCTAATTTCTTTTACCAAAAGCCCCCAGTGATGGACCCCCTGGACAGAGCTCAAGTACTCCTCCTCTGTGACCTGTGTCAAAGAGCAGCATTACAGAGTCACTGTGAACTTTGTCAAATTAACCTGTGTAAGGCCTGTGTAGGGGAGCATCTGTCTGATTCATCTAAAAGACATAAAGTTGTACCATACAAACAAAGAACATCTACTCCTAACGTTAACTACCCAAAATGTCCAAACCACGCCCAGAAACATTGTGAACTTTACTGTGAGAAATGTGACATGCCTGTCTGTTCTACCTGCATTTCCTCTGATAAACATCATGGGCATAAATTAACAGATATCTTACAAAAACCAAGCTTCCTTCAAGAAATTTTAAATAATGATTTAAAAGAACTAGAAAAAAAAATATATCCTACCTATGAAGAAATTGCATCAGATTTAAACTCTGAAAAAATTAACTTGGAAAAACATTATGCAAAACTGACAACAGCTGTCACCAAACAAGAAGAAGATTGGCACAGAGAAATTAACATTATTGTCAACAAACAGAAATCTGAAATTGATGAGATGAAATCTAAACACCTAGCTGCTCTAAGTAAACAGGAAAAAGATATAAAACAGATTACTTTCGATATAAAACAGAGCATAATTGATCTGAGGAAAATATTGGACACCAATGATGTCTCACTATCCACTGCTTACAAACGCAGGAATGCTGAATTCAGAAGTTTACCTCCTAAAGTCAGTGTTTCATTACCAAGTTTCTCTCCTCATCAGATCAACACAGAACAGCTTTATCAAATGTTTGGTTCTCTGTCAGCATTATCGATTACAACCGATGAACATGGTTACACAATGAAGACACCAGAAGCTGTATCCTGTCCTCCATTCAAACCACTGCTAGATGAACCAGAGCTTATCACCTCAATAGACACTGGGTATGACAGACTATACAGTGTTACCTGTCTCAGTGATGAAGAAATCTGGACAACTGGAGATGACAACATCGTGAAACTCTACAACCTCCAAGGTAAACTACTGAAATCAATGCAAACCAAGTCTGGGAACAGTCCACGTGACATAGCAGTGACAAAGAGTGGAGATCTAGTTTATACTGACCCTAATACAAGAACTGTAAACATAGTGAAAAATTACCAGATACAGGAAGTGATCAGACTACAGGGGTGGATACCTAACTATGTCTGTAGTACCTCATATGGTGACCTCCTAGTTACCATGGTCAGTGATGATAAAGAACAATCAAAAGTTGTTCGTTACTTTGACTCCACAGAGATGCAAACCATTCAGTTTGATAGTGAAGATAAACCTCTGTATTCAACTAATTCCATTAAATACATCAGTGAGAACAGGAACCTGGATATCTGTGTGGCTGACTGTGAAGCCCATGCAGTAGTGGTTGTTAATCAGGCTGGAAAACTCCGATTTAGATACACTGGCCATCCTTCTCCTATCATGCGATCATTTTATCCGTATGGAATCACAACAGACAGTCAGAGTCAAATCCTGACAGCAGACCAATACAGAAACTGTATCCACATCCTAGATCAGGACGGACAGTTCCTCCGTTACATCCGTTATATTGAAAACTGTGATCTGAACAGTCCATCTGGTATATGTGTCAACACCAGAGACAACTTCTTTGTAGCCGAGTTAAGTGGTAATGTAAAGAAAATCAAATATATGTAAAAACAATTGTGTTATGAATAATGATATGTTTTGATAAACACTTTTTCCAATGTCAAAATCACAATAATTTATTGTTTCATTCAGGTTCTAGTACTTAAGTGTGTGCGAAGATGTGTGAAAATGATTAGAATAAAATACATAACATAACAGTGTAATTCAGGAAAATTTGAATAAAAGATTATCAACAACTGTTTCATTATTCTACCCAAAGATGGAATGACTACTCTATTATGACTTGTAATATTGGAAGAAACCTGCAATATCTCATGAGGAATGCTGTGTATAATTGTGAGTAGATAAGAAGACAAAGATTTTGATTGTGCACTTTTTTCAAGTCGGCCCTCTATCATGCATTGCACACTGCTATGTTTTGATTTTATTGTATTTTTGATGAAGTTTGAGTAATATGCCCATAGATCTTAAATGCGATCGAGGGTACATGTGAATTAAAGCAACATATACATTCTTTCATGCTAGTTATTTGTTATTCATCAAAGGATTTTAGTCAATCAAAATAAATTAATTAAACACTTTCTTAGCATGTTACTTATAAACGCATTGCATGGGTGTGAGAAAATAAGATTTGACTTATACTAGTATATAACCTATATAAACATGAAAAATCTTATTTAGATGTTTAATGTTAATAAATTCACATACTCTTTTAAATACGTACATGGTCAAAACTCATTTTAACAGATATTAATAGGTCAATTTCCATGTGATATAAAGCTCAAAAAGTCCACTGTCAGTAGAACTTCAATAAAACCTTTACTTGATATACAGTATTTCCCTGAATGACTGTTTTAAAATCATATTCAAAGAAAACATCAATTGTTTCATAAAAGGGAGCCACATGTGTCTGTTTTTAGCTCACCTGAGCCGAAGGCTCGAGTGAGCTTTTCTGATCAAAATTTGTCCGTTGTCTTTCGTTGTCGTAATTTTTTTTACATTTTCATCTTCTTCTCAAGAATCACTGGGCCAATTTTGACCAAACTTGCTACAAAATTTGGGTAAAGGGAATTAAAGTTTGTTCAAATGAAGAGCCACGCCCTCTTCCAAGGGGAGATAATAATGAATTAGTGAAAATTTAATGGAATTTTTAAAAAAAAATCTTCTTCTCAAGAACTACTGGGCCAGGAAAGATACAACGCATGTGTAATAATCTTCAGGTAGTGTAGATTCAAGTTTGTTCAAATCATGACCCCCGGGTGTAGGGTGGGGCCACTATGGCCGATCACAGTTTCACATAGGTGTATATAGGAAAAATCTTTAAAAATTTTCTTCTCAAGAACCACTGGACCTGGAAAGATGAAACTCATGTGTAATCATCTTCAGGTAGGGTAGAGTTGAGTTTGTTCAAATCATGACCCCCGGGGGTAGGGCGGGGCCACAATGGCCGATCAAATTTTTACGTAGGAATATATGGGGAATTTTTTTTTAATCCTTGTCTCAAGTACTTCAAAGTCATGATTAGTGATATTTATATGGAATCACCTCCTTATTGTAGATTTTAGTTTGTTCAAATCATACCCCCCCCCCCCTTATGGAAAGGGTGGTGCCACAAAGGTCGATCAAAGTTTTACTTATAAAAATAAAGGAAAATAGAATAACGGAAAAATTCCAAGAACAGAAAAGCTATGTTTAGTCATATTGACATGTAAGCATCCTCCTGTATTGATGATTTAAATTTGATCATATCATGCCCTCATGGGGTACGGAGGGTAGGACACCCCCACCCCACCCCACCCCCATAAACTTTTCAGTTCTGACCTGATCTGTGCTTTTTACTTGACGATGTGCTCAGGTGAGCGATCTGGCCCCTGGGCCTCTTGTTATAAGTGATCATCTCCCTGTGTTGAGCCTCAATAGTTTTCTACATGTATCTCTACTTATGACGGCCTCTAAAAAGCAGCAGTGGGTCCTGGACTTACAGTATTCCTAAACAAACAAACAATTCATTTATGCAAAATTGTCAGAGTTAGATGATGAAACAAGTATGGAACATTTAAAGTATTTTAAAACCCCCTTTAAAAAGCTTGGTGGCTGTGGTATCAAGTTAAGGGTATGTTTGTCCAGTCCATCTGACTGTCTACCCATTACACATTTGTGGGAACCATTTTCTTATCAAAAACTCCTCCTATAGCACTATTTTTCTTGGTAAATCTTATGTATCTTTTTGAGGATTTTTTGAGGATTTAGTCGTGTATTTCACCTGGTAAATCTTTTGTATATATTTTAAGAGTGAGTAGTGTATTTTAAGGCCGTATAGTCGATGAGATTTGTAGCATAATACAAGTATTATAAGACTTTTGTATTATAATACATTCTTGTACTCACGCTAATACATATCTTATAAGATTGTAAATAAACTACATATTCCCACGTGTTTTCCCCCGCCATATTCTCTCTCTCTCTCTCTCTCTCTCTCTCTCTCTCTCTCTCTCTCTCTCTCTCTCTCTCAAAATAATAAAAAATGGAGGATAAGGTTCTGATAGCAGTGTCTATGGTCGTTCTTTGCACTGCACTGAAACTAAAAAAGAAAAGAAAAATGAAAAACAGAGTCTGGGTAAGACCATGGATCCAGAGGCGGAACATACATGGTGCACAATGCACTGCCGGATAAGCTGCAAAGAGAAGACCCCAGCTGTTACAAAAACTTCTTGAGAATGGATAATGCAGCATTTGAGGAACCTTTACAACTAGTTATTTCTTTGATCAAACGGAAGGAAACTTTAATGAGAGATTCAATACCACCGTCTGAACGATTATCGTTGACACTCATATCCCTAGCAACAGGTTATGGTTATTCTATTACATAAATGTTTCATGAAATACAAGAGGCTCAAGGGCCTTGAATCGCTCTTCTGATAAATTGTACAACCTATCCCTTCTATTTGAAGCCTCTAACCCTAAGTATCCTAAGACCCAAGTTGCATCAACTGACAAAGTTTGATGATTCTTAGCAAATTAGGACTGAAGATATTTTAATAAAGCAATAAAAAAAAACATAAGTAGGTCACAATGACCAACTTAAAGATTGAAGTTTTCTGAGGACTCAAGATGCATTAATAGACAAAGATTGAAGATTCTAACAGCCAATAAGTATGTGAGATTTTCAAAAGTAGGTCACCTTGGCCTACTTTTTCGTCTACATTCTTGGAAAACCCAAAATGCATCAACTGACAAAGTTTGATTTATTCAAGCCAATAAGTACTGGAGATACTTAAATATAGCCATGAAATGTTAAAAGTAGATCACTGTGACCTACTTTTTAATAGGCGATTTTTCGAAAGGCAAAAATACATCAACTGACAAAGTTTGATGATTCTAAGCCAAAAAGTACCTAAGATATTCAAAAGTAGGTAACCGTGACCTTCATTTTGGTTGACATTCTCTGAAAACCCAAGATGCATCAACTAACAAAGTTTGATGATTCTAAGCCAATACATGTAAGTACCAAAGGTCCTTAAATAAAGCAATAAAATGTCCAAAGTAGGTCACCGTGACCTACTTTTTAGTCGTCACTCTTCGAAAACCCAAGATGCATCAACTCACAAATACCTAAGATACTTAAATAAAGCCATAAAATGTCAAAAGTAGGTCATCGTGACGTACATTTTAGTCGACATCTTTTAAAGTTCCAAGACGCATCTGCTGACCAAGTTTGATGATCGTAGGTCTGAAGGTAATCAAAAAATGCCTTTAAACAATTTGAAAACATATGCCTGCAAAATTCAAAAAGTTGGTCACAGTGGCCAACTTTTTCATAAATATGTTTAAGGTCCCAAGATGCAGCAATTTACAAGATTTGATGATTCTAACCCTCTCAGTGTCTGAAATAATGGGATTAAATGTTTCAAAAAGGATAAGTCACAGAGTGGCCTAATTTTAAGTTGACGTTGTTCAAGGACCCAAGATGCATCAAACTACAAAGTTTGATGATCATAGTCCTTAAAGTGTCCAAAATATGCATTCAAATCAATTTGAAAACAAATGCCCGCAAAATTAAAAAAAATAGGTCATTGTGACCTACATTTGAGTTAACATGATGTGAAGTCCTAAGATGCATCAACTTAGAATATTTGATGATCCTTATAGTAAGCAAAATATAAATGTTTTTATGAATTGTAAATTTAGGTCAACTTTGAAGTGACCTTGTGACCACATCCTTTGCCCCAGGGTCAAGCCTTTAACAACTTTTAATCTTCAACATATCTTGACCCTTGTCTCTGACATTGGTGAAAATCTGCCAAGTGGTTTTGGAGAAGAAGATTTTTTTAAGCAACCAGGACTGAGTTGCTCAAAACACTGGGTAAATTTGTCCAGTGGATAAGTTAGCCGTTGGTTAAATTCAATATCTACTGGGTAACTAACCACTGGTCAAATATTTGTTGCTCAAAATAAAATTAGCCTCTGGTTAGCTAACCACTGGTCAAGTGATTTAACCAGTGGTTAGTATCCCACAATGCATTACATTTGTCCGTCTGTCACCACAAAAAAAACATGGCTTCAAACAGTGTCAACAAAAAAAGAAGTGAGAATTTTTCAGCTGATGAAACTTTATTTTTGGTGGAACAGGTGGAAAAACATATTGAGCTTATAAAATCGAAACATACAAACCAAGTAACAAATGTAAAAAAGGCAGCTGCCTGGCGTGAGATTACGGAAGCGGTAAATTCTAGGGGTGGGGTTTTGAGAACTGTCGATCAAATCAAGGAGAAGTATAGAAAGGCTTGTTCCAAAGCGAAGGGGGAAATCGTCAGTCAGAAAACGCATCGCATGAAGACTGGTGGTGGTCCACCTCCACCCCCAGTTGATGCCATTTCACAGAAAATTCGGGACGTGTTCCAAGACGCCCCAAATTTCGTTGGCATTGAAGGAGGGGTCGAAGTTGGAGGGCTTGTTTTTGAAGGTACTTTTCATCTTTCTGAAATAGAATTGAAATAAAACAATAAGCAGGTCTACACAATGTTTACATTCCACAACGAGGAAATTCGAAATACCGCAGCCCGTCTGCGCACACTGAAAATTCCACAGAATTTATTCTTTCTCATTGATACAATTTAGTAGGAGTTAAAAGAATACGTTTTACGTAATGTTCTCGTGTTTGAGCCTAGTGCATTCCTGTCAAAACATCCATAACATTTATACATCTCTCGCAGACGTTCCGAGTCAGACGCGGTTTTTTCACAAACTGCAAGGTGAAGGCCAATTAATGTGTGCATAAGCACTTCGCCCATGTAGTGTTTCGGTCCAAACAAAAAAAAAGATTACACAATGCAAGGCTTTTTATATTTTTTGGTTTAATGCATGTACTTTTTTCTTAAAAGAAATTCTTCTATTTATTAGGAGCTTTGTGGATCTATATTAAAGCATATGTCTACAAAAAATAATTTTCTTTTGTACAGAGGTGCCATTGCCAGCAACAAGTACACATGAGGATGCTGATTGTTCAAGTAACTATTATTTTTTATGCATATTACAATAAATACATAACAAAATATTTAAATTTGTAAGACTTTTATGTACTCAAATTATTTTTAATTCAATCAATAATTTTTTTAAATAATATTATTATTTTAAAATGTTAATCAAATCATCATCAACTGACATCATCAAAATATGTATTTCCATCATACAATGTTGATGTGAGTACATTTTAAATTAAAATACATGTACTTTATGACTTTTAATCAAAATGATTTTGAAAATTATTTAAAAAAAAAGAAATTTGAACTGAACTGAACAATATTAAAAATTATGTTATTTCTTTTATTGTATCAATTGATAAATTAATTATTAATAATTATGATGCACGAATAAATAAATTACACATATATAAATGTTGGTCCATATATCCACAGGTGCATGTCAATAAAAATGATTTAAATTACTTTACAGATCCTGTTGGAGATGAAGCCCTAGTAACTGCAGCAAACAACTTGGAGAGAATGCGTTTTAAATAATGATAAGTTACCATTAATATGAATTATAAGATGAAATAAATTCATGGACTTTGAATGGAAAAAAACTATTCTGTACCACATGATAATAAAAATATTAACCTTTACAGTACACCTCTAATTTTTTTTACAGAGGAAGCAACACAGACAATTGTAGAACTCCCTGATAATTTGACAGGTATAAGCTTTCATTTGATTTATAAAAAACATAGTAGATATAATTCATTTTACATAGCATCATTTATACATGTATCATGTAACTTTTGAATGTATAAATTTTGCCAGAATTAATAGACATAACCCAAGTTAACAAACATTTGCAAAATTATTGTTTAAAAACTGTAAACTAATGTGTACAATGGCTATCCATTTATGCATACATGTATTGTATTAAAGAAGTTTTAGCTCTATTTTTTTTAACTTTAAAACACATAATGTTTACCAGGAACACAAGTGTCACATATGACCTGATGATAACAGAATCTGGGGCTAAGATTAAGAAAAAAGATGAAAAAGGTAATTTTAATATGCTTAAATATTTAACACATGTAATCAATAATCCTTGCAATTTTCAAACACACACATTCACACACACACACACACACACAGAGAGAGAGAGAGAGAGAGAGAGAGAGAGAGCATTCATAATTAAAAATCCTAGAATTCAAAATATGAAAAAGATATTTATACCCCAGAACACTGAAACTTTTCTTTTAAAAATTTGTGCAGAGAAAGGAAGAAAGAGGAAAAATGAAGAAAGTGTTGCTGAGCTGCAAAGACTAGTTCTGAAAGAAGATTTGCGAAGAATTCGAGAAGAAACAGAGCTGATCATACTACAGAAGGAAAAGGTTGCATTGGAGATTCAGAAACTTAAATTAGAAACATCATCTATGCAAACTGAAAATGAAATGTAAATTAAAAGTAGTTATTGACAATGAATTGTCTGATGTTGTTATTCATGGGCTGGGCAGCTACTTCATCTAAGACGTAAGCCTCATCTCTTTGGTCCTGAGTGTCATCACAGCCAGCATCATTGATTGTCTCTCTCCTGTCCTGAGCTATATTGTGTAAAACAGCGCACGCCACAATTATTTTTGCTGCACGTTCTGGTTTACACTAAATTGAAAAGTTCAAAATTATATACTTTAATAATGTGAAGAGTTTCAGAAACATCTTTTATAATATGACTCAATTAACACTGCATATTTCTTCTTACATTGAATCACAAAAATGTAAAAAAAACATTGTATTTATGAATTGCAAATTTATTTTAAAAGTCTGCATATGAATTTGTAAATTATTTAAAATTACCTTCATTTCTCCATGCAAAGCCAAGAAGCGCCTTTTAAGCCATCCAAAACTTCGCTCAATGACTGTTCTAGTTTGTGCATGGGAATTATTATATCGCATCTGAGCCCTTGAATTGGAATAGAGAATGTGTAACTAATTAACATTTACATTTAATTTTTGCCCCCCCCCCCCCTCATATGATATTATTTGTTACACAAAAGCATTTAAAGTAAAATAAAAATAAGTTAAGGTATACCATTTAATGATTATAAAAGTATTTTTAAATGATAGAAAAATATACCCAAGTATTAAGTTCAATTTTACATGGATTCAGACTTTTGTGGCCTTAAATTTAATAATTGTTTCATGTCTTAGGTTAAAACTTTTCATCATTCATTTGAATATATATCTATCCTTAGACATATATTCTTACCAAATATTCTTAAATTCATTTATTTGATAAATTTACTAGCTCTAAAATAATAATGAGAACTTTATTGTGTTTTTATAATTTTTATTTTAAAAAAAATCTATTATGTACCCTTTTCAGAACTCTCTAGTATGGGAAGGTATTTAATTACTCAAAATTTTGTAAACATCATTATCATGATGGGTGGAAACTGTAAACCATGTAAAATGTGTTATAAGTAGTTTTAAAATGTGTTCTTACTCTGATGTTGGACGTAGAAAAGGAGTCACAAGATATCTGCTACAAGCATATCCACTGTCTCCAAGTAAAACACCGTCAATATCCAAGCCCCTATGATGTGCTTCAAGGTAGGCCCTGATATTAGATTCTCGGAATATGAATGAATCGTGATTGGAGCCAGGCCATTTAGCAACAATGTTAGTGAATTTGCCTGTAGGAGATTTTATTTTCAAAATGTAAGGCATAAATTAAAGGGAAAGAAAAAATATAAATCGGACCCCTCACTCAAATTAACAACTTGATATGAAAACCACTGAAATCCGAATGTAGTTGAGTACAAACTTTAACTTATAAAATTAATTGAAACATCCTTTGGTATGCACTCTTTGGGCAATATTGATATTTGTGATCTACTTCAACATTCAAAGGACTATTTGTTTTTCTTTAAAGAATACTTGCCTTCATGATTGCATATAGCCTGGGTGTTGATCGAGTGATACCCCTTACGGTTGACATAAGCAGGTTCATGGTCAGATGGAGCAATAATTCTCACATGTGTGCCGTCCACAGCACCAACTACAGCAAGAAATCCAGCAATTGAATAAAAGCCTTTCTTAATTAACACCTTCTCATTTGGGGATGACCACTTAATAAACTGTGATGATATGTTCACTAGCGCCTGTGATACATCTCGGACACTTCTGGATACACTTGATTTATGAAAACCAAGTGTATCTCCTATGGTTTCCATATTATCCCCTGTAGCATAATAACGCAGAGCCATTTCTACCTGACTGAGGGCTGATAGGGAGTATGATCTCATGGTTGGGCGACATAACTCTGGTTCAATCAAGTCTGTTATGTACTGGACTGATTCGCGTGAAAACCTGTACCTTTGTTTATACTCAGATGCATCAAAATCATGATGAAAATGTCTAAAAACTCTCTGTTTCCTCTGTCGTCTGCCAAAATTAACATCTAACAACAATCTAGAAGCCATGTTTATCCACTGGTTAAGAGACTTAACCCACCTCTGTGGAATGGCTAACTTTAGCCAATATTTAACCACTGGATAGCAAAGTTAACCAATGGATAAATTTTGAGCAACATAATTTAACCATTGGTTAAAAGTTAACCGCTGGATAAGAGATTTAACCAGTGGTTAACCTTAACCAGAGTTTTGAGCAACTCAATCCAGTACTTTTGGTTTTGTTTTCCTGATTATATCCCCTTGTTTAGGGGTCTGAACCCTTATCTTAGTATAAATGGTAGCCCATGGGCCAAGAATACCTCGTAGCAAATTTGACACTGATTGGCCAAGGGGTTCTTGAGTTATGGCCCATTTTCTAAAAAGTTTACGCACACCGCACAAATAGCCATGACATTAGCTCTTTGAGCTTTTGGCTCAGAAGAGCTAATAATGTACATTTTTTCAAGTCAAGAGCCATAGCATAAGCTCTTTGAGCCTTTGCCTCAAAAGAGCTAATAAAGAGAACTAATGATTTACATTTATACGAATTATTTAAGAAGCAAATTAAAAATGAATTTATATTCCATTATTAGGGGAGAGTTTTCAATCATTGGAATACCTGTATATAATACCCCACCAGACCTTATAAAACAATCCCTGATACATGTAAAGAAATCTGCGCTATTCTCAAAGATACGTATTTGAAGGTAAGATTTAAAAAATATTTCCTAAGTATTTCACAAAATTGTACATAAAAATGAAAATTAAAAGTAATCAACCTAGATTGTACAAAAATAGAATTATGTAAAATGAAAAAAAACTTATCTTCTAGTAGCTCTTACAACTTATTTTTCACATTAATGTCAATTCTGGTCAAACTGAGTAGACATGAAACCACTCATCTGTGTCAATGGATTGTCTGAGGTTGTTGACCGAGTATTCGTCGGCATATGCAATGTAGAGGTCTCATAAAGCAACTGCTGAATTTTTAACTTTAAAATTCCCTTTGACCTAGGATCTTTGATAGTTTTCAGTTCTTAATATAAATAGCTTATATAAAAATATAAAAAATCTTCATCATCCGCCTCATCTTTGCTTCTTCTGTCTTTCCTTGCTTCTTCAATAGTTGATAGTACAGAAACAACTTTCATTATTACATGTACCTCCTCAGAGGGACTTTGTTTTTTCTTTTTCTTTTCTGGTACCGCTCTGTCAGTGGAATTAATGCTTGTGCCTTTGCTGCTACCATTACTGTCTGAATCACTTGAATGTGTCTTCGATGTGTCCTGCAAGTAATTTTGTGTTTCTTACATATATTGTATAATATAGTATTACTCATCAAATATTATAGTTTGAACAAAATGTCTATATAGTTATTAAGTATTTGTATAATTTGCTTTAAAGTGCAAAAAAATTGCATTTTCCTATATAATCCTATAGTAAATGTACCTTTGAGACGGTTCCCTCAAAAATACCTGGACGGTAGATTTCTCCCAAACTTTGCAAGTATACTGAAGTTAATGTAAGTTATATATGGTATAAAAATGAAGAGTTTTGCTATTGTAGTTTTCACACAATAAAACTATAGTCGGCCCCCTTAAATTATTGTTAGTCTCTCTAGCTATTATAATACCCAGTTTAAGTGTTTTATTTGTAAGTATATGAGTGTACATGTACAATCTATAAATCACGAGAAATTAACTCTCAGATTATGTTCAAAATTAATTAATCCTGAAAGAAATTCATACACATTTCATTTATCAATATTTTTGCATTACATAGATTGAAATTAAGATCATTGTTGAGCAGCATGTTCAGTGATGTGAAACACCGATACATGTACCCAAATAATATCTATGATTGATTTTCTGCCCTAAGGCGATTGAGACCGCAGGTTTTCTTACCATTTTGTTTATACACATTGTAACGTGCACGAGGTATGAGGCTTATGTAATTGATCAAATCTCCAATGAAGGAGATATATATCATTGTAACCAATATATATGGTATTTCCTGGTAGTTTGTTACTTGGTTATCCCTGTTGATTTGGTAAGTAAATCCCTGTGTCGGTCAGTAAAATATTGCATTACAGTGGCAAACAAGAGCACAACATAAGATTATTAAAGTTTCAACAATAATTCATAAAGGAGTAACTGTAATACAGATGACTGGAAAACCAAATAAACAGTGGTGATGTAATACAATTGGTCAGACAGGACGTCACATAATTATGATTTGGTCAGGCTATTATGATTTGGTAACGTTATTATGATTTGGTAACGTTAATATGATTTGGTAAAATAATGCTGTTTGTTGTAAACGATAGTAAAACTTTGTAGAGACTGTTGAATTCCTTAATAAATCTATTTGGTCAATATAATCTATAGTATAAACTCCCCAACCGTTAGTTATGTCAGTATTTATGTATAATCTCTATGAACGTGGTTGAGCAGAAGTTCTGCAGAATCAAACTGCAACCTCAGCGTCTGTGGCGACGCTTATATAGGGTAAACTACCAGACATGCGCAGTGCGCTTTTTCCTAACCAAAATGAAAGTATAGACCAAAATGGCAGACAATGCTAACAACATCGCCGAAGTGGGACAAACCATGAAAAATGCGAACAATGTGACGCAGAATCTTAAAACAAATACGATACGTAATGATAAACAGTGAAGGTAAGTTGCATAAAAATTTACAATACATGTTGCGTAACAATTAACAGTAATAAAATAATGACGTTCGAGGACGAAGTACAATAACCTAAGCCCCCATTGTAAATTAGAATCTTCCGAATTGCCATGACCAAAAAAGGAAAACAACGTGATCGATAGACGCTCGCTTAAACGGTAAATTACAATCAAATTATACAATGTACTGTTAATTAAATGAAATAAACATTCATAATAAATACTGTTTCAATCATAAGAGTCCACAATTTTACGTATCAGTCCATATTTCCTCCGTGGTAAACTTGGTCATTTACCAAACATGAAAGTGTAGAATTTACCAAACATGAAATTATAGGAGGTACCAAACATCGTTTTATAGCACACTTGGTAATGTTAACAGTTCAAAAATAATTGCTGTAAGAGAAATCATGTACAAATAATGTTTACAACAAATAATTATACACATATGATATGTAGAGGGGGGGGGGGGTCTCAAAACACAAAAATTTCACACACATTATCGGCCAGGTCAAACAAGCAAAACAAAAAAGAAATAATTCACAATTCCCGGTATTTTCAATTATTTATTTTTGGAATATCTAAAACGTTTTATAATTTGTTTATAAATTGAAAACTAATTCGTTATAAATTCCCAAATAATTGTTCAGATTTTTATGTTTCGTAAGAATGGTGGCATAATTTTATTTCATATTCTTAAAACAAATTGTTAGGTTTTATTTAAGGATAGCATGAACTACTCTTTTTTAGCGTGGTACTTGTAAAATGTGTGTCTTTATCAAGTCTTTTTCAAATAAAAAATCTCATATCTAAATGTTATTATTTTAACAAATAGGACCATATCAAATTTTGAGTATTTAATTTTACATAAAATTATAAAATACATGTATGCATGCCTACATGTAGATATTTTTTCTTATGAACCTGTAGTGTTTTTAGGGATAAAAATCTTCTGACCTCCTTGTTTAACTACTTTATTTTTTATTATTATTCTAAAATACATTTGTGTAAATATACAGTCCCTGAAAATATCTATCAACTATAATACATGAAGTATTTACTTAATAAAAGAATATAAGAAATCCTTGCTGTTTTCTTTAGTTGAAACTCTTCTCTGTTGCATGTAAACAAAATAACAGGGGGCCTGCAAATTCAGAATACACAAGGGGGCGGAACTATCATGTCACTCAAAACCTTTTTCACACATGAGCGAACAAAGCAGTCCCAGGGACAGATGGGACTGCTTGGTATGCTTTCTATAGCAGTCCCATAGCAGATTTATCATTCTTGGAACAGGGTCACACATTTATAAGTGTATTTTGTTATAGTTAATTTGTAATGTATGCTTATGTAAGGATACATACATTTCATATTACTAAGCAAAAAGCATTTATCTCAAAATCAGAACATTGGTTCAAGTAAAAGATTCACGTGTTATGTATAAAAAAAGACACATGGTTATTTCAGTTTAACTTTAAGATATCTATTATATTTTTATGCGCCCGGATTGATAGATCCGAGACGTACATTGTTTTTGTCCTGTTTGTCTGTTTGTTTGTGTGTTTTTCTGCAAACTTTAACCTTTGCCATAACTTTTGAACCATGAAAGATAGAGACTTCATATTTGGTATGCATACTTCACAAATTTAGTTCTTTCAAATGACACCAAGGTCAATGAACTTGTGTCCTTGACTGTGTCCTATATGCTAAAAAAAGCATTTTGTCTGCAAACTTTAGCCTTGCTATAACTTTTAAACCATGAAAGATAGAGACTTCAAATTTGGTATGCATACTACACTAATTCAGCTCTTTCAAATGACATCAAGGTCAAGGACCTAGTGACCTTAACTATGACCTGTGTGCTAAAAATAGTTTTTTCGTACCTTTGCCATAACTTTCGAACCATAGACGATAGAAACTGCAAATTTAGTACAGTGCCCGCATCGTTATTCTTTACAAATCTATCGGGTCCTATCGTGCGTGTATCCTATCGTATCGTGCGTGTATCCTATCGTATCCTATCGTATCGTGTTTTCTGTTTATCGTGTTTTGCGTTTTCTGTCGTGTTTTCCGTTTATCGTGTTTTGCGTTTATCGTGTAGATCGTTTATCAGGTTCTATCGT